AATAGTCTATCAATTCTTTGGCGTCATAGCTATAATCGCCTGGGGGATGATAAATTGCTGCAACACTAAACACAGAGTTTTTAGTTATTATTCTCATCCAGATGCATTCGAACATATTTTCTACTACTAGTATGTTTTCCATTCTCCAATTATTCCTACAAAGTATCGCTACACCACCTCCACGTGTATTTTCTCGATCTTTCCTGGCAATACCGTAACCAGGAGGGCAAATCAGTGAACTTGGTATAGCTGAATGAAGCCACGTTTCAGATATAAAACAGAGATCAATGTTGTTACTATTAAGTTCAGCATATAGTGCAGGATAAGCATCAGGCTTAACTAGCGATCTAGCATTCAGAACTAAACATTTAGGAATTTGTCTAGGTATGCTGGTTTCACTACGTCCGATAATTTTAACTTTAATTAGGTTTCTGCAGACATGGCGTGGTTTAGATTTTTTTACTAAGTATTTTCTTGCTGATATTCGTACTGGTATGTGATTAGCCATTATACAAGAGTTGAATGGGGTCCCTTACAGCTTTGGGTCTTAGCATTTTCATTTCTAGTGTGCGAGCCTTTTAGTGAGAAATATAATTTTATTATTGAGATAGAATTTCAAGTAATTGACACAAAAGTCAAAGTTCAAAGCAAAATTTAAGAAAATTGGTTTAGTAACAAAAAAAAAATTTGTAGGCAATTGTAATTAACACAAAAAGTCAAAGTAAAAGAATTGGTTTGGAAGAGAAAAAATAAATTAAAGTCTAAAGTAGCGAAATTTTACAGTTATTCAGTGTGATCCAGTTATATTGGGAATAATGTCTGTGTTTAACCCTCAGGCGGGAACGTTCTCTTTCGGAATGGGAGCGGTTGATCTTCTTGTTATTCTTCTGGTTGTCATTTTGCTGTTATGTTATTGATAGGTATCTTTCAGTTTTATTGCATGTTATAGAATTCCAAATTGTCGACTTAGTCGGAGACTGAAGTACAAGAGTGCAACGCTGAAGGTTCACTACGTCTTCATAAAAAGGTTTCTGCTAAGATTGTTCCTAACGTCTACTCAGTGATGTTTATCAGTAGGGAAAGATCGAGTAATTTTGACCACATGGTTAGTGGGTTGGTTGTAATAGTTTGGTAAAACTCCCGTGAATTAAAATATTATTAAAGAGTAGGCCTAAAAGTTATTAAACGAAGTAAAATTGAATTTAAATATTATTGAATATTGGGCAGAGATCCCGTTGTTGAAAATTATTGGCGAGCATTGAGCCGTCTAAAAAAGGGAGTATGTAGTTTATTGAAGATGTTGTTCTTCTGTTGTTGAATCTTTCCTATTATGTTATTCTGTTGCTAGGGTTTAAGGACGTCTCTTTGTGTTGTATTGAGTTCTCAAATTTCATCTTTTCTATAGAGATTTATTTAAAGCAAATTTAACAGTTAAATGACAATTAAGTAAATTGCATGCATATAACAGTGTTCGAAGTGAATTAAATAAAACGGTAAATTTACGGTAAATATGAATTAAAATTGTGTATGTTATTAAAGTTATTTTTAAATAGAGGATTATAAGCAAGTAAGTAAAATTAAAGATTAAGCAAAATATAAGTAAAGTCAAGCGGTAAAATTTTAAGTAGATCTAAGCATTTGGAATTGTAACATAAGTTAAAAGTTAAAATGAATAAAAATATTAAATAGCCAAATAAGTATAGCAGTAAACATATTTAGTCTGTCTGTCATTGGCTTGAGCGCAACACATCTGATACAACTATAAGCATTTGGCATTTGCTTGAATGTGTCACTTGAAAGGTCGCGATGTCAATGGATTACAAATCTATTAATTCCCATGATACATATGGATATTTTACAAGATCAAGACGGAACATTTTACAGACATTACAGCTTTATGTTGTATAATTCGAAGCTATTATCAAGATTTCATTTTATACTACAAGTCTAGTTCGATACATTACAAGATGCTGAGTGTAACTGGATGCTCGTTTAAATTTGGATTGCGCAAGTTATGGTGATAACTGGATTTATAATTGCATGGACACGTCAAACTGTTCTGAATTGTGAATAATAACGTTACTAACGAGGACGCTCGAAAGTTCTTGCGAACTTTCTTTCTTCAAGGAGGAGGGTGTTACTTGATAGCAATTATCATGTATATTTTATAACATTTTATATTATACATTAATACATTTTACTATATTTATATATTATATATCATAGTTTAGTTATATTATACTTACTCTAAAGAATTTACCTATGAGAAATTGTTTTACGCATAGGAAGTTCTTTTAGCTTAGTCATGCATGATCAAGCAAATATTTAGTTACCACAAGTGCGTACGCGTGATGGACGGGAACGGTTACCGCAAGAAGATCGTAAGAATCTTCCCAAGTAATGACACTGCAAGTTTAAAAGTTCCTCTCTGAACAGTAGACGGTTTTAGATAACAAGACGTGGACGTCAAGAGGACGTGGATGTCGTAATTTGGCGTCAACTATCGTCAGCTTCTGGTTTGCGACGTCGTCTTGGACAATTTCACGACGCGAAAATACAATTTTCACGTCCTCTCTAGAACGTCATAGATTTTTGCTTCTTTTGAAAAAAATATGAGACTATATATAATAAAAATCATCCTATTTTGTTCCCCATGTATTGTTTAATGATACTAGCTAAAGATTTTCCATTGACAAGGTTGGTTTTTTTTGTATTTTGCTAAATTTTAGACGAGTTGATTTTCGACAAACTCACCATAAACAAATCAACAAAACTGCGAACATTGTTAATAACCACCTCAATACCGCTAGTAATCTTCACCAAAACAAATATTTTAGAACAAACTAAACTGAAGTTATATTGACAACAGTTTAAAATCAGTAAAACGTGGGAAAATAGAAAAATAAAAGCACTTAAAAGCAGTAAAAACTCGATCAATTTTAGTTGCTCTGTCACAACAGTGCAAAAAGTAGGACATGCAAAAAGAACGCTTTCCAGCGTGAAAAACTATCGTAAACAGTATTAAATTTTACCACTATAAACACTGATGCTATGTTTATACTGAACAGTAGACAAACTTGATTGAATAGCTAGGCTACAATAAAGCATTTTAATAGCTCGTAAACAATACCTGTATTTATTCCAAATGATGCAACAAAGTTCACTTTTCAAACTACAGAAATATACGTTTTTTCCAAAAAAAACTTATTGAATGTTCATACTAATTCGTCAGGAAACACTTGGCCAGTATTATATAACCTTTTATTGCACATATCTTGACAACTGATTGAAAACAATACAGGAATGAACAGGTAACAAGAAAACAAAAATTTGCTTTGAAAAAGACAAACAAGCCGTCCCAGATTAAAACCCGGAAGTGAACGCGAGCTGCATACGTCATTTTCACGTCCTCTTGACGTCCGCGTCTTGTTATCTAAAACCGTCTAGTATATAAGGGAGAGCACAACTCTAATACATTCATTCATAGGCCTCCGTGCCTCACATGATTCATTCATAGGCCTCCGTGCCTTACATGATTCATAGATAGGCCTTCGCGCCTTACATGATTCATTCAATAGGCCTCAGCGCCTCAGTTACATTATTCATAGGCCTCAGCGCCTTACGTGAATATCATTTTGGAAAAGCTATTATAAAGAAGATTGTTAAAGAAAGATTGTTACAAGTTATATACGAAAGAGTATTGAAGTTAAAAAGCGACGTTACGTGAAGAAGACGAAAGAGTTGTGCTCAGTCAGACAGAAAAGAGATAAGTTGAACTGATATAGTTTTAATTATATAGTAATTGGATATAGTATTATAAAGACGTTTTAAAGAAATAAATAGTTATATAAACGTAACTGACTCACACTGATTCTTTGTTGCGAGAGAAATCGAACCAAAACGCGGGAAATATTAATATTAAGGACCACGCTCGTAACATCAAGGACAAGGAAAACTTCGAAAAGATAACTTCAATCAATTTATATAATGTAATTGCAGTGAAGCAAAACTGAATAAATATACGTAAACTTAATTCAAGAAAACTAAAATACGCAAACAAAACTGAATCGTGCCTGAAAGTCCACCCAAATTGGAAATCAAAATTTTCGAACAAGCTCGAAAATTCTTTGCACTTGTCTCTGGATAGGCAGATCCATTTTATAAACTTTACACACAATGTGATATACCTAATGGCTAATTAACTCCCTTTTCGGTGTAGATTATTTAAACAATTTTCCAGTATAAAGAGCTGTAAAACTGCAGACAAGTACCGGTCCACAATCTAACATTTATTCGTTTTCAATTCGAAGCAACAGGCCAGACACCATTCAAGTCACATGGCACATGGCACATGCGGCAAGCGTCACGCAAGTGCATCACGGCATGAACAGCAGTTCGGGTTCAGGCGCTTTCATTCCACGTCCACTGCATTGCTAGATTGTACTGATGAGTGGTATGTTAATATGGATCGTGGTTTGTATAATCTTGCCGTTTTTCTCGATTTAAAAAAAGCATTTGACACGGTAAACCACGACATTTTACTGGCTAAACTAGAGTTATATGGTATTAAGAACACGCCTCTGATGCTTCTCAAATCTTACTTATCAGATCGATCTCAGAAATGTCAAGTAAATGGGGGAACTTTCCACATTAAAATATCTAAAATATGGAGTTCCTCAGAGTTCAATTTTGGGTCCAATTCTGTTTTTAATTTATATCAATGATTTGCCGAATTGTTTACAACACTCTACAGCACGCATGTTCGCCGACGATACTAACATTACAGTGTCCGGTAAATCAATTAAGGAAGCTGAGGTTGCCGTTAATGCTGATCTCAATAATATCAGAGAATGGCTTCTGTCGAACAGGCTCTCTCTTAACCTTGTCAAAACACAGGCGGCCCAGACGTGTACACCATTTCTTACTCATAATGATAAAACGCGCTACCATGTGTATGAAACAGCTACCAATAAAACGTAGATATATCCATGTGGACGGATTTGACCTCGAATTGCATAAAACGCGTATGCAATACAAAAATTTGAATATGCAAAATCATTCATTATCGTCTGAAGGTATTCAATATTAAGAAATAAACATAGAATAGCATGTATATCGGACCATGCAAATCTAGAGATTAGACATCAGAGTCAAGAATGCATTCATTCTAAAGAAAACGTTGTTTATTAATATTGTTAAAGGCACAGTTCAGCCTTTTGAACGATGGTTTTTAAGGCGCATTTGAGCTCTTTTAATTGAAAAAACTAACTAGGAAAATCAATTAAGCATAATTCAAAATCAGTAAACTCGATGTTTTTAAAAATATAAATGTTTTAAAATGTTAAAAACATTAAGTTTGGTGATCTTGAATTATGCTTAATTGATTGTCCTAGTTAGTTTTTTCAATTAACGAGGCTGAAATGCGCCTTAAAATCCATCGTTCAACAGGCTGAACTGTGCCTTTAAACACCAACAGGCGAACAATAAAAAGAATGGTCACAATTACAATGGTTTTAATTGTCAACTGTGTGTTTGTAATAACAATAGAATTCATATGAAGTTCATTTAACACCAATATCTTTTCAAGTAAACACTACTTAATTTGCATGAACGTGGTAAAATATTCCACCCAGGCAGCGTTTACACTGTACCGTTTTCGTAGCGTTCTCGTATTGTTCGAGAGAACTAGACTATTGTCTTGCGTTCCCTTGAGGATTAAGAACAATACGAGAACGCTACGAAAACGGTACAGTGTAAACGCTGCCCCAGTGTATAGAAAGACATGGAAAGGGCTTCCGCACTTTGTTTAAACAATAAGCAGCTCCACACAAACATATTCTAATACGGAGCGTGGTTTGTGTGTATCTGTGTAGACTACGCAGTCGGTTACCAGGTGTAGGTACATGGACATGTTCAGGCGTAATAGAATCGCACAAGAACACAGACACCGAAATTCAGCGTTTGACGGGTGATAGAAACGCGGCAAGAAATCGACGACTACCTTAGGAAGAGTTTCGAACCCATCTTCTCCTAGATGCCTTGCAGCGAAACATCGGTTCAACAAATGTGGCGAAGTGCGGGCAAAGGTACCGCTTCGGGCAAATATACATACCACGCTGCTTACAGTAAACGGGAGGCCATTTAGGGTTGAAGGATATGACATTTCTTGATTGATATCGCACATATATTGCAGTGTTTAGTTGAAAAGATATTTGTGTTAAACGAACTTGATAAGAATTCTATTGTTATTAGAAACACACAGTTGGCAATAAAGACCATTGTAATGATTATCCATTTATTTTATTGTTCGCCTGTTGGTGCTTTTAAGCAGTCTTAATAAACAACGTTTTCATTAGAATGAATATATTTTTGACCCTGATGTCTAATCTCTAGATTTGTATGGTTCCCATATCCATGCTATTGTATGCTTATTTCTTGACGTTGCAGTTGAATACCTTTAGACGATAATGAACGATTGTGCATATTCAAATTTTTGTATTGAATACGCGTTTCATGCAATTCGCTGTCAAATCCGTCCGCATGCATATCTCTACGTTTTATTGGTCACAGGTTCATACACATGGTAGCTCGTTTTATCGTTATGAGTAATAAACGGTGTATTAGTGTATAGTAAATATATCATTATAGAATATACTACACAGTAAAATTTGTAATGAATTTTATATTTTAAAATCATATTTACTTGCCTACTTTGATTGTATGTGATCGTCTTTTATTTCTGGGCGACTTTACACTGTGTGCCTGCGACTATCAACATAGGTGATAGTAATGAAAGCAAAGGCTAACGATTCCAATTCTCAAACAGGCGACACGGACACTTCAACTCGAAAAATATCTCCTTCAAATCGCTTTGTTCCCGGTAAAAATTCGCCAGCGTATAGAATAAACACCCATCTTCGAACATACAAGGCAATATTAACATGTCCTTTAATTTTTGCAACGGATTTTTAGCGAAATGTTTCGAAACTAAAATTCTATGGAACTTGGAAAGCCCGATAATTACTACGGCGCCTGCTTGGTCACCTAGCCTCCTTTACCGTTTAGATTGTCAGGGGGGGATTCAAATAACAAACACCTATTTCCGGCAACAGCCAGCCAATCAACGCCGCGATACCGACTGTTTACAATATTTGAAATCTGATATTGTAATTTATCAACAACAAAACTCTTTCCCTTTCTTGATAAATTACAATATCAGATTTCAAATATTGTAAACAGTCGCTATCGCGGCGTTGATTGGCTGGCTGTTGCCGGAAATAGGTGCTTTTTATTTGAATCCCCCCCTGACAATCCAAACGGTAAAGGAGGCTAGGTGGCCAAGCAGGCGCCGTAGTAATTATCGGGTTTTCTAAGTTCCATAGAATTTTAGTCTCGAAACATTTCGCTTAAAATCCGTTGCAAAAATTAAAGGATATGTTAATATTGCCTTGTATGTTCGAAGATGGGTGTTTATTCTATACGCTGGCGAATTTTTACCGGGAACAAAGCAATTTGAAGGAGATATTTTTTGAGTTGAAGTGTTCGTGTCGCCTGTTTAAGAATTGGAATCGTTAGCCTTTGCTTTCATTACTATCACCTATGTTGACAGTCGCAGGCACACAGTGTAAAGTCGCCCAGAAATAAAAGACGATCACATACAATCAAAGTAGGCAAGTAAATATGATTTTAAAATATAAAATTCATTACAAATTTTACTGTGTAGTATATTCTATAATGATATATTTACTATACACTAATACACGTCTGGGCCGCCTGTGGTCAAAACGGAATATCTTTTGATTGGATCACGCCACAATATTAACACGTTAGAAGAACAAGCGCGTGTTTTTATTGGAGATGAACCAATTAAAGGGGTTCAAGTTACAAAAACTCTTGGATTCAAAATTGATCAATTTTTAACTTGGGACAGTCATATTGACCAGGCCAAATTTTTAAAAAAATATCCTCTGGAATAAGTGCAATGAAAAAGATAAAGGATTTCACTAATTCTGATACTTTGAAGTCGGTCTATTATGGTCTTGTCCAACCCCATTTCGACTACTGTTGTGAAGTTTGGAATGCCATTAATAGAGGCCAGTCTGAACGACTACAAAAACTTCACAACAGATGTGCTAGAATTATAAAGAACTTTAAAAATGAGCCTGGGCAATCTCAACTGGCCCTCGATCAATTAGGGTGGATAAGCTTGGAACTTAGGCGAAAACATATTATGGCCCGTCTCATGTTTAAGGTTGTCAATAATTTGGCACCATCGAGGTTCTCATCAATGTTCCAGAATTCTAACCATATCCACAGTTATAATTTACGAGGTTCAAATTCGTCTCTCTTTCTGCCACGACCAAATACCGAGTATGGCAGAAAATGTTTCGATATAGTGGGGTTAAAATCTGGAATAGCATTCCTGAACAAGTAAGAAACAGCGAATCTTTAAATTTTTTCAATAGAAATATTTCCTCTGTTAGTCTGACGAATTAGCTATTTGACTTTTGTATACCATTTGTTTTGTAATATGTATTTGTATTCGTAGTTCTTAATATTCTTAGTGATTTTGTATTTTATATATTTTTGTAACATTTATCTACGCCCCACTTGAAAGGAGCTCCGGTTGAAGTGGCCAGCGTAGTCAAATAAAGTTTTATCCTATCACGGATGGCATGCGCAAAATATTAGACGTTTCCAGTCCCTGTCTTCTGGATTGTCCATGTTTTAACCAAAAACCAGTCATGTATATAGACCACTGCAGCAAAACGTTTGATATAATTTTAAAAATCTATCCTGCCTTGAAACATCATTGGACTCACCATGCAAGACTATTCAAACGGTTTGGTGTTTACCACAACCCTCTTGATGACTTTTCCCAATACGGCGGATGGAAAGACGGATTTTGTGTCATCCCTATGACGTCATAGAGTTTTACAATATATTACAGTATTACACTGTATATATCCGGTAACAATACAGGTTAACCAAACTTATATAAAGAAATTTTAAATTAAGGACCTTTTTCTGCAGCTATATAGTGCCCGGAGAAAAATGCCTCCTTCCTCCTCCTCTTGACGGAGTTGTGGCCATAATTATATTCAATCTATTCTCAAACATTCTGTGGTTGGACGGCAAGCCACTGGGTCAATTACGCGATTACGGTGCAGCACTCAGATCACTGAGCGACAGAGTCCGGTTGCCAAGCATTATCCACAACTTCTTGTAAATATGCTAAAGTGATGCTAGTGTATGGATTTATGGTACGTAATTTCATTTTTCGCAGCTGCTAGCCTGCTGCCGGTCTAAATCATGACGTTATCGTTCACGTGACATAGAGAACCAAATTTGTTTGGAAATAATCCATGAAAATTAAAAGCTTCCATCATAAGAATGTCAAAACAAGGGGAAAATGCTGTCCCGGAACATTTCCAAACAATGATTTTTTTGTGTTGGTGTTATGTACTCAGATGAATATGATGTTTGTGATGTTACTCTGATAATATCATGATTGCGGGTATTCCCTTTGTTCTCGCAGGGCAATTAATAACTAATACACCTCATTATATTCATTTTTTCTAATCCTACCCGCTTTTACGTCATGTCAGGTAGAATTAGTTGTAATCCTACCCGAAACGACGTCAAAGCGGGTACGATTAGAAAAAATGAATATATCTGAAATCGCCAAAACTAAACAAAGACATGGAAAACAATTATACCATTTAATTTATACCATTATTTATTGCTAATTGGTTTTTAATGGCCCTGCGAGAACAACGGGAATACCCGCAATCATGATATTACAAGGTAATAGCATAGAAAGAGGCGAATTAGCAATTGAAAACGTCCCGCCCGATGAGGGTCGTTTAGTAAAATTCCCTTGGGCGCCGCTCGATTCGGATCATTTAGTAAAATTCCCTCGGGCTTTCGGCCCTCAGATAAATGACCCTCATCGAGGGTCACCTTCGGATAAATGACCCTCATCGAGCGGCGCCCAAGGGAATTTTACTAAACGACCCTCATCGCGCGGGACGTTTTAATAGCTAATTCGCCTCTTTCTATGCTATTACTTATAAGTGTATATACACACCCGGCAAGCTTGAAAAATATGCCTTGCCAGTTGCCACGGTGGCTAGTATTCTGAAGGTCGTAGGTTCAATTCCCACCGTGGGCAGACATATTTTTCAAGCTTGCCCGGTGTGGATATACACTCAGATTAACATCACAAACATCATTTCCAAACAATGTTCCGGAACTAGATGTAATGGAATGAATATATTGTTCTGCATACTATAATACAGAATACTTATATTATTCTGGAACAACAGTGTTCGTTAATGAGCACCAATTTAATACATTGTATGAACATTTCGACAGCAATGTCGTTTTATATTATGTTCGCAAGACCACAGTATAGGGAGACAACCAGTAGGGCCACTTAGGGGAGAGAAAAGTGGCAATTATTTAAGCTAGGTTCCAGGTGTCTTACGCGGCCAAAATCATTATTCTGTAGTACAATCTTATAGTGGACTGCTGCCCTTTACTGGCTGCCAATATGTAAATTAGGTTGGCAGCCAGTAAACAATGTAGACACTTTTTTACGCTGAGTGGCTCTACTGTACTTTTCCTATACTGTGGCAAGACCGCACAATTTTCAAGACAAATCGCAATAGTTACATGATTCATACCACAATCCTGGAAAAAGTTCGTACAGTACTGCTCGAATTTTTAGCACCCTCCCCTAATGTTGGAATTCAGTCACTATATTGTATATAAAATGAAGTGTGTTATTGTTTTATTTGATGTAGGCATGCAATGTTATATATTATGTACTACGATGGCCGAGGAGGGCCACTTCTGACTTCCGACTTCTGGCGTCTGAGTTCCGACTTCTGACTTCTGACTTCCAAATTCTGACTTCTGACTTCCGAATCTGACTTCCGATTTCTGACTTCTGAGTTCCGACTTCTTTTACTGCGTTATTTTGAACTCATATAACTCGAACTCGTTGCTTTTTCGAACTAATTATTTTTTCCTTTGAGGCTTGACTCGTGAAATTTAGCCAACTAACTTAAATTTGAAATGGCGGGGTAACCGGAGTTCTACTGTGGTGGATAATGAAAATTTTGTCAATTGACAATATCAATTTGATAAATTCAGATATATGAGGTTAATTTTATCGTCAAATAGATAAATTTCTTATCCATATGATTATATTGGTGATTGCTTTTTCTGGATGGTATTTTGGAAAGTTCTTGAGGGAAAGTTCTTGAGCTAAGTTTTGGAAATAAGTGATGTAAATGTTAAATTAAATTTTAATTAGCGATAATACAATTTAAATGTCCCCTACGGCTAAATTTAAACTGTTGAGACAGTGAAATCCTATTGGTATAGAGAACATCCCGTTGAACATACATAGTTTTTTTTTATACTAAAATACATACGATATCAAAAATAAGTATTGCTAACAAAGAATGAAAATACTGTTGGAAACACCGCAACATAAAATTGAAAAAATGAAATAAAATAACGAATTCGGAAATTCTGGATAAGAAAAATTTATCATATAATTAGACATTATCAGCAAAATTAATGCAGAATCGAAGCAATCGGTTTGGATTTGCCGTGTTTAGCTGGAAAGGCAGAAGAAGTCAGAAGTCGGAACTCGGAAGTCAGAAGTCGGAAGTCAGAAGTGGCCCTCCTCTGCCATCGTAAATTATGAGATCATGCTTACCTGAATAACGACCAACGGCCAATGTATAGCTGTCCGACATTGAAGCTACATGGAACGTTCCATATTTGGCGTAGGCGGTTGTACTATCAAAATCCATCAGGTCAACTCTTAAAACGTTTTGACCAGATTTTGTTAAACGATGTATTTTTTCAAGACCAAGCCAAAAATTTCCGTTTAAGTCACCAAACCCATTTCTATAATCATGCCATCCGCGATAAAAATCTACATTTCCGTTCTGTCTTCTTTGAAACACAGTCCATCCTCCTCGATCATTTGTCATATCACACCAGACTTGAAAAGCGCCTATGCCATCTGGGTCGATTGTATATATGCCGTCTTTCCTTTCCCCATGGAAATACAAACTTACACAACTTTTTCTTTCGTCTGATGTAAAAAGTAAAAAATGGAAATGACAATGCAAGTGTTTCGCGTTTTGTCTTACAAATCGTAGTAAATAACTTTGTTTTAATACAACGGGCCCCAGCTCTAAGATATTTACATAAGTCATTAAAGTGTCAAACAGTTATTTTAGAATCATAGAAATGTTGGACTATTTGATTATCAGAGTTGTAAATATTTATAAACTAGAGGGGTTATTTTACATAGTAAGCCATTGCTCTAAACACAACGTGAATAACGTGATGACAATATTCCCAATAAATGTGCCGTCTCACGTACCGTGTAAACGTACGGCTATCTTTTAAATTAATATGGAGTTTCTGTGATACACGTATATATGCCTGTATACATGGCTCAGTGATGAGATAAAGTTTAAAATTAAAATGTGGAATTATAATTAAGATGGGCGAAAATATTTATTTTGAAAGTACGGGTTTATAACTTGATTACTGACCTTCACGTTTCATATCACTAACAGTTTTGTTCATAATCAGCAACTGGGACTGAAGTTGAACCAGGGTTTCCTTCAGTTCTGCGAAATCTTTGTCATGCTGGTTGGTATTAAAAGTAGTGAAGAATATTATCAGAGAAAGGGTAAGAAATTATAAAGCAAAATATTTCACCCGAAATACGATAGGAAGAACAAGACATATTGTAAGAATTGTCAGTCAATAGTGCAAACGTCTTGATATTCTTGATATGCAACATCAGACTGAACACCCCCCTCCCCCATAAAAAAATGAACTTGGGGAAATTATAAATGTTAGTTCGGCCGAAATGTGTGGAAAGTAAATTTAAAAGCATGGTTCAATATCCCCACCCCTCCCACGTCCATCAACAAAATTTTGCGAATATTACAAAATATTTCTTCCCCCCCCCGCTAATTTTCCCTCGCGTACGCCTATATCCATAATCCCTGCCCCTTTGTTTCGTTTCGTTTCGTTTCTTTCGTTTTGTTTTGTTTTGTTTTGTTTTGTTTTGTTTTGTTTTGTTTTGTTTTGTTTTGTTTTGTTTTGTTTTGTTTTGTTTTGTTTTGTTTTGTTTTGTTTTGTTTTGTTTTGTTTTGTTTTGTTTTGTTTTGTTTCAATACTACCCGCATTTATATTCTTTACTGCACAATTTTCAGTCAATATTGCACAAACTGCATACTGCAGCGTTCTAAAATAATATAAACCCTGATAAAGAATCGATATACGAGTTCGTGAAATAAAATAATTGCAAATTACCTTTTCTTCTTCACAAATTACTTTCCATGTTTCATTAGATCTCACATAAAGTTTCTCGTTGTCCTTGCGGTATTTCATTAATCCTATCGCAGGCGCTACTTTCTGGTCAGCAACAATATTTGGAACAACAACAATCTGCAACATATTATGCCAATTTGATTAGGCAGAGTGCAGTTTGTTGCGACACTCTTATAACTGATTAAACGAATATTCAATTAACTCCAAAATTAAACGTGCTATTAACACCAATATTTATTTCCCCATTGTAACACATAAATCTCACATTGGAATTATGATGAAATTTAATTTGGAAAGTGAGCAAGTACAGTATGATGCACATGCGTGTGAAGTGAAAATCGAGAAAAAACAAATGGAGGGTGCGCCCACCATGTAATGTTTTGTCTTTTTCGGACAAACGAAAATAAATAAATTCAACTGGAAAATTAATGCTTTAACGTCAAAAATTTTAACTATAAAGGAATGCATTTAAATTCCAGTATGGATATGTACTAAAAAGAACAAAAAATGTTGACTCCCTTTTGTCCGGTTTGGTCACTTGGTGTATACGTAGTCGGTACATCGGAGAGGGAAAAGTACATGTTATCACTTATTGTTTGGCAGAATACTTTTCATTATCTAATGCAACGTAGCCCAAATCAGCTAATCACGTTTAGCGTAACTGATATGTATGCTATTCCTTACACCATCATTTACGAGAGGTTCGTTTTGATTACAGCGACCCTAAAAATAAAAAACAGATGACACTGTGACCAAATTTGAAATATATGCTTTTTAAAGGATGAAATTGCAGAGAAATACGCCACAGCATATCCATCAAATCTTTAAACCCAACCAGAATTTAAGAACACATTTTGTGTCGTTATTAAAATGGTTGCAATAGAGTTCAGGTAATTTAAAAGTGCAAACTAACCGTTACTGGAACAGCATTGTCATTATATAACTTGTACCAAACCGCTTTCCCTTGAACCACATTTACTTTATACTCTATACATTTGTTCCACAGTCTTTTTGGTAGTGACGATCTCACCCAAAACCACGTATAGACATTCTTGACAATATTTCCACCATATTTAGCTTTACATTCAGTACCACAGTAATGTTTCTTGCCACCAACAGGACCAAAACAACCGCAACACTAAACGCCCATAGTCGTATATAAATCAATGTTATTAAAGATTTGAACTTTTCAAATTAAAGTATTTCAAAACTGTTAATGTACAATTTAAAGCATGAGCAGCAGTGTTTTATTAGTTAACATGCACCGAAGCACGTAAACGAACGTAAAGCCTCATTACTGAACGAAACAATCGTCAAAACTACAGTTCCCTATTGGCTGATAGCACTCAATCCGTGCTCAACCGTATAATAGCAAACTCTTATTGGATAAACGTTTGGCACAGGGGCGCCGGAGCCACGGGGGCAGCGGGGGCAACTGCCCCCATTGCCCGAACAGTGCGGGGGCAGCACGGGGGCAACAGGTTGCCCTTTTTACCGGAATTATACAACGAAATTCGTGCGGCTTATTCACAGGAATTGGAGTTTATAACTATTTTTAAGCAATGTTTAAGCAATGTTTAAGCAATCTTTACTTTACTATTTTATTTTGCACCTTCATCAGGGTTTAAAATGGCAGCCGGCTATCGCCGGCAGTTTTAGGACCTTGCCGGCGATTTTTAATTTCAGAGCATAGGGATCGGAAACCGCATACTATAACGAAGTTGTTATCGACTCCATGGATCTGTGGCCAATGCACTGGAAGATAAAGCTGGAGGAAGCACGGGAACTGTGGCCACTGGTCGAGCTGTGTCTCTGCTGCCCGTACGGCAATGCATGCGGTCGGCGAGTCGTTCATCTCGTACTTAGTGTAGTCAAATCTGGCTGGCGCAACAGGTTGAACGAATGCAACTTGACTGATTTAATGCGCAATAAAGTGACAGGTCCAACCTTGCACGTTTTCCGTTAGCGTTTTTGTGAGCTTGCTGTGGACCTCTGGAATAGTGATAAATCACGGAGGAAGACCCAAAGGAACCGAGAGCAATATGCTGCAAGAGGAAATGCATCAAAAAGGACAAGAGGGAAGAATTCCTTAGAGTCAGAGATTGGTTGAAAGACGTTGGAGCTGAGGGCGAACAGGAATCGGAGAGTGAGGAAAATGAAGAGGAGATGGAAGTTCATTTATCGAGGAAGTTGCCACAGAACCGGTCAAGAAATCGCGCTAGTTACTTCTTCTCAGTGGAAGTTGTCGGACAGCTCCGAAGACAGTGGTCGTGAAGACCCTCTCCTGGGCGGAATGAGAAGCAGTGACTCTGAGTTACCGTGACTGGTAATTCCAACTAAACTATAGTGCTCTAGTATTCTATAGGGGGTCAAGTGAGAAGAATCCAAAATGAACTGAGCACCAGATTTTGTAAACGGTGACGGATTTCTAGTCGTTTACGACGTATTTATTAAACTTCCCTACAAAAAGTTTTAAATTCGGTTCTATTAAGCTATAAAAGCAACAATATTTTCTTATTGTTTTGAACTGATTCACATAGCACTTGTTAAAGTTTGTTCCTACCCCAAATAAAATGTATTGCAATGTTCTTACAAATGTTGTGTTGGTTTACATCACTATTATTTGGCCTATGCCCACTCCAGAACATAACTAAACTTTGCTTGGAAATCAGCCGGCAAAAACGTCACCTAAAAAAAAACAGCCTAAAAAATTTGACATATATTCAGAACGTTATTTCGAACCCTGTTTAGCATAGTGCAACGAATAAAATTGTTCAAATTAATGTCGAAGTTTGCCGACCCATAATAGCCACAAGTAATCGAGTATCCATACAGTAACGTTTTAACAAATATTGCCGCTCAGAAAAATGATGGCTGAGAAGCAAGTGCCCTTTTGAAATGGCTGCCCCCGCCGCTTCACATTGCTTCCGGCGCCCCTGGTTTGGCATAATTTATTCGCACGAAAGTTGGCAGTGTGTTGGTGATTTACATACGATTGCTTACGTACTGAACGTAAACGCGAAATTTGCATGCATGAGATGTTATAACTCGAGACGTCTCGCTCATTCCCTAAAAAACTGGCACGCTTGATGCATGCCATTCTTTACCTAGTTGATTAAACTCAGAATACTTCAGAATATCCGCAGAATGTTAACTGATATAATTTTGGAAGTCGACCTGGCCGCTGTTTGTACACAAAAATTTAGTTCATTTTCAGTGGAATTTGATGACTCGACAGTCTCGTGCCATATCATATGATGTACTGTACAGGGTGTCCCAAAAAAACGAAAACTATTGATATCACTTATTGTTAAATTTGAATGCCCTACCAAACAGCTGGACGTAATGATGCGTAAAATATTGGCAAGGTGCATGTATTAGAATTTAGTTAGGAATATCTCCTGGTAAAGCGCGCGATTTTCTGCTCCTGGGAATTAAAAACAGCTTCTTAAACAGTTTCTTTATGCATAAAATTTACTTGTGTCAATCATTTATGCACTCGTGGGAACCAACAGAGCGCTAAGGCATTCAAATTCTAACAATTAAATTGTTATTGGTGATTTCAATAGTTTTCGGTTTTTTTGGGACACCCTGAATTTGCATGAAAGTAAACACAATTCCCAAAGGGCAAAATTGCACCAGATGTCTATACAGTACTATAGACATTATCATTGCGCTACTCAATACAGTATGTTTCGTAAATTTTTCGATTCCCAAAGCCAAAGGCAAACATATTTGTGAAGAGTTTAAATTCGTTCATGAATCAAACATGACATTAGGCCTACGAGATTTATAGCGAGGACATGTACATATCAACGATATTTCAGCATTATAAACACGGCGAGCCAGAGTAAAACGAAGACCTTGAAGGCTGAACGACTAATTAATGTATTCTCTTGTTTAAGATTCAAACATTTTCTGTCCAAATAGTTGGACATATATATGTCTGCACGAGAATGAGAACTTTGTATATGCAAACATATTTTCGCACGATGCGATAGTAGTACGTCAGGAAATCTCAACACTCTATAGTGATTTAATACACGACTACACATGCATGTCGACGTAGCTTCAAACTCGAAATTGTGATTAACTGACAACATGATAAAATCTTTAGAATGCGCACATTTTACAAACAATATGCATATCTATGGTTCATTTACACATTTCTTACGTTTGCAAATTAACATAACTGAATATACGTTCGTTTACGTGCTTCGGTGAATGTTCAGTAACTATTAGATATAAAGATACGAGGCGAAGCCGAGTACGTCTAATAAAACGCGCGCGCACTGCGAATATTTTAAATTGCTTCAAGAACGATCGAGGTAGTTCATTGGCGAAGTAATTTTCAAAAAATTCGTTGTGTAAACCGAGAAAATCAAAGCTAAAATTTATGTAAATCAAGGAAAATATTTCACTTATAAAAATACGACACGCTTATGATTTTTCTTTGTGTTTTCCTCGTAAATTATTAATGAGTTTTTGAAAGTGAGTTAATTAAAACTTACTTTACGATTAACACAGCCTACAAATGAAGTTGACTCATGGCTGATACCTGAGGTATTGGCAAATGCACTGTAGCTGTAAGATAAAAAACATACAATATAATTATAAATTGTCGCATACTTACTTAATTATTCACTCAGACATTTAAGTTACTTATTTATGCATTTTTTTATACTTAACCTAAATGACCCAGAAAAGTCAATTTGAATCCCGTATTTTTGCAGGAAGGCAAAGCCAAGTAGACATGGTTGCTGGAAACATAAATTCATCATATCCTATAATAAATTCAATTTTCTTATCAACCAAGTACAAAGAACCATGCACCAACAGCAAGAAATTTAGGCAATTAAGAACCAAAAATACAAGAAGTATTTGACCCTAATATTAAGAAGACCGATTTCTAAAGAGTCTTAACTATTGTACTGTAGAATAAGTAGAAAATATATTTTAGCGCAGGGCGGGGGAGAGGGACAAAGCTCCATGTGACTATTATGTCTTCCACTAAATTAAGTTATTGCGAGTATTCAACTCGCAATTTCGAAATCATGATTTTCATTGTTAATTAAAAGGTGATAGACCTTTACATTTTTCTCCAAGTGCTTCCACAATACAGGAAATTCTGTTTCAAAGAAACAAAATCCATTTTACTATGGACCCCCACCCTTAGAATTGTGACTTCTCAAATTATTATGTTGCTCCTTCCCCTCCCACCCTTAGATAAAAGCTTAGCGCCGCTACCGAAAAGAGACATGCAATATAGTAGAAACTTAATTTGATATAATTACAATCCGTTGTTTAGTACTCATACTGCTCAACAAGGATACATTTTATCAAATTCGGATGCTTTTAATAAATAGTATTTTTGATACTGTCCACAGCTTACTAATTAAGGAAGCTAATATTTTAGAACACTACATCCCACTTATATTAAAATTATAATAAATAATAATATTGCGTAATAAACGCAATTTCGCCATTTGAGAACTCAGCAGATCCAACAGAGTTGCAATCTGTTTGATAAAATAAATCACAATATAACATTTGTAAATTCTGAACGCTGATTGACTAAGAGCCGTGAAGACATAACTCAATGTCAACACGGAAAATTTCTTTCTTTACATTTCTTTGCGCTATATTATAAAAAAAAATACAAAACTTTTTCCGTATTGATATACAGTATATCAACACTGGTGTTGATATAACTGTATATCAACATGGGAAACGTTTTATATTTGTTAAATCTGCTGATGAAAGATCTGGACACATTGTCTCTGGTTGGAACAGTTTATGGCACAAAGATTTTGTATTGCAATTCGTAATCACATGGAAAATACAATTTCAGAATATAAAATTTCAATAATACGAATTGCTTAAAAATACCGTATATAAAATTTCGAAATGGCAATTAGATGTACTTACCCAGCCAAGTTTCGAGTTTTTAAGATAATATGTACCAAAATTTGAGCAGCGAAATTTTGTGGTAACAATTTCCTCAGTCTGAAGATCTTTAACATACGAAATATGTCCAATTCCTGGTGATAATCGACCACATCCTCCTTCATTCACGATGAAAAGATTTTTTAGTGGACGTTTGTTTTGCAGTCTGAATGACCTGAATCGATTTTAAAGGAGCGAGGAATATTTGTTAATATCTTTACCTCACCACCATCACTATTACCACCACCACCACCACCACCAAGAAAAAGATAGATTATCGAGATAGATTTATGTAAAATAAAATAGCAGGATAACCCTGTATCGTACAAAGGACCGTAAAAGAGTAATGTATGTTTGCAGACAAAATAATGATAAAAATACATCAATAGCAAAATTTACGGCCAAGATCGTATAAATAATACAAATGTCTTTCATTACTACTTCTTACCAATGAGCTTTAGTTGCACTGAAATCTTCTTGTGTTGCTACCTGAACCCGGAAGTCGACAACTGGCGCATCACCAAGTGAGCTGGACCAATGAGGTTCTCCAAATGGTTCAACTGGAGTATTATTGGATGGTACAGTCCACGTGATTGAGCTGTTTGTACGGCCAATCAACATCCATCCTCCGCCGTCAGTAATCATATCACACCAGATCTGGAAGAGAAAATGTTACGTGTTGTTTTCTCGAAATATTTATGCTGAATATTGTTTTCCGGTTATCAAGGGCATTTTTTAGCATTAGCCTTAGGTGAGGACACATAGCCTTACTAACAGACACCTCACTGTATGCAGTCTGTCATACTTTCGAGCAATCTCGTACCCAGAGCACACTCAACGCTGGCTCTGGGTACGAGATTGACTTTCGAACAAATTATATCATATCACCAAAACCGCGGATCCTTCCTCTCGTCTAAAAAGCTTGTCATCTTTTCATGTCAAAACATTCGGGAATGCCACAGACTCATTCCTAACGTCATGCAATCGAGAATTTCCAAATGCTGACACTTTGATTGGTCTGCGGGAAATTGTTCTAGAATTCTAATATAACATTTTGATATTTTTGCAATGATAGGCGTGGAAATGTAGTCGCATTCCTAAATATTTTAACACGAAAACAAGGCTTTGGTGTTGGTAATAAAATGAGTTGTGTGGACCAAACTAGATCTTTCGTTGTACTTCTGTTTTTTATGCGTCACCAAGAGACACCTAGTATGTCGTCCCGACAGACCAATTTCTGGATTTCAAGCGCAAAATAAAACGACATCTACCCTTTTTGGAACAGTTCCCGATAATGTAATCCAATAAAATCCATCCTTTGCTTTGCCATTTTTGTTGAGAACATCTGAGCAATCATAAGCAGGATTAAAAAACTCTCCAGTTGGATTGGAACCTGAAAATTATAATGTGATTACTAAATTTAAATATATATTATTTTCGCAAGTCTACACACACCAGTAAAATGGTAAATACACGCACATCTCAAACTCGTTAATAATTCATGAGTAAATTAGCCAACCATATTGCTTTATTTTGTTCATATATACTGGATACCTGATGGAGTACATTGATCCGTCCTAGGACTGGATCAAAATTAATTCAGTCCTTGGACTGGATCAAAATTAATTAAATAGTGATTTATTCGCAGGAGATGTCATTTCAAATCCTCCCATTCGGACTAGATTAGATTTCAAGTCCGCGCAATTTGATCCAGTCCTCGGCTTCGCCTCGGACTTGATCAAATTGTGCGGACTTAAAATCTAATCCAGTCCTCATAGTCGGATTTGAAATATTATTTCTCAAGTTTCACCTCATGGTCGAGCAAACTCCGTAGATAAGAGCCTTGATAAACCGCGCCTAAAAAATCTGTTGGAATCAACAACTACTGCAATCAGAGCTCAATGCTATGAAAAAATTCGTGTCCTAAAAAGAAACTTATCAACTAATTCCTTTAATTTACACAATTACAGCACATACTGAAACGAGCAATAACACCGCACATGTTGACCATACAGAGAATGCAATCACTGAAAACGTACCGAAAATATGGATAAGCTCTAGATTGCCTTTTATTGGCAAATATGGTATTCTGACCGAAAAGTTCATCAAGAAAACTTTCCGTTTACTAAAAAGTTCGTGTAAATTTACTTTACACTGGCGGACTGCGCATTCCAATTGTTTCCTGCCCTGCAAAGACAAGACACCCGATGAATATAAAAGCTCGCTCCGCAGTTTACCAATTTTCATGTCCAGGTTGCCTAAGCGCCTTTGTTGCTAAAACACTCTACTGTCTGTAGACACGTGTAAAAGAACCTAGCACACTCGAAAACTCAGAAATCCACGCCCACATTTCAAAATCCAAATCCACGCAGAACACTTTCAACACATCAAATCTCTCCTTATATGCTAATTTAAAACTAGTCACAGAGTCGATACACTTTATGGTGTCAGGTAGATCGTTCCAAATTTTTACGCCTCTGTATGTATATAAAATTACGTTAGTCAGGGGCACTATGATAAAACGGAGTTTGTAATGTATCTTTACTTCTAATGTTACAGTTATGTAACTGTGATCGTTGTTTAAACTTTTCTGATAAGTATGTTGGGGCTAAGCCTTTTAGACATTTAAAAGTCATTACAGCATCCTTAACATTCAACGTACTATTTACTGGTAACCAGTTCAATTCTGACAAACCAGGTGTTATACGATCAAATTTTCTGGTGTTTGTAACTAACCGTGCTGCAAAATTGTGCACACTCTGCAATTTATTAGTGTTTTTCTTTGAAGTATTAGATCTAGACCACACCGATGAGCAATAATACAACCCAATACTAAAGCTTTAATTAATTACAATAATAAGTGTCTCTGTATCCAGCAAATGTTTCACACGACTGATTTGGCAAAGAGCAGCCAATCATTGGGAAACAACTTCTGTAATATGGTCATCATAGGTCCGGAAGCTATCCAAGATAATACCAAGCCCTTTTGGGACTGGATAAATATATTTACCAAGTAATGTAACGTGAAAGCCACCCGGTAGGGTAAGCAGCAATTGACGAGTGCCTATAAGAAGTAACTTCGTCTTTTCCGGGTTTATAAGAAGGCTGTGGCTACAACACCAATTCGCTGCCCTACGTACATCTTCATTGAGGCGTTTTGCTGCGTCTCCCATTTCCTTAACGATGAACGAAAGAAACAGTTTCGAATCATCTACAAAGGATTCCAAGGAGCTTGAACTAGGTGCACCTGGAAGGTCATTTATATATATACCAAAAAGGATTGGACCAAGAATAGATTCTTGTGGTAGCGATACTCCGTGTGTGATAGTCCGACATTCTGATTTTTGGGATGCTAAGCGCACAAGCTGGCGACGATCCGAGAGATAACTTTTAAACCACACGAGGGAGGTTTTGGAGATTCCAAGTGATCGAAGTTTAGCTATATGCTAAAATGTTAATGGATTCACAGTCTTATCTGTTAAATGCATGCTTACGGCCGCCCCTCACAGAATCGTATTCTGATTCACGAGATTGAAAGCACATATTTTGTTTCATAATTTATAATAACAATGTTGCAATAAAATTGGAAAAGCCCTCTCCCCGTGTTCGGCCCTGAAGAACGATTATACATTATTAGGAGACACACTGTAAGATAAATCCGTTTTATTTGAGAAAAAACTCTATAGGTTTCTAGAAGTACTTCAATCAACACTACCGTACGTATAACATAAATTCTGACAGGTGCAGTTTTCAACGACAGATTCATTTTACAACACAAACATTCTCTCATTTTTAGGGAGAATCAGGAGATTACAGTATATATGTATTCTTGTCTTGCATTTTTCAGGTAGTTGTCAACGTTCAGTTTCCCCATACATTTAACCCAAAATTCCGTATTTTTTACGGCATAATTTTTTATTAGTGTATTTCATAACTGATTTCCATGCAAAAAATCAAATTTTCGACGAGTAATTCTAATACATTCGTGATATAAATTGCAATAATTATCCCTTGTGAATTAGATTGGCAGTTTGAGCGAGAGCACGTTGCAAATGCAACGTGAATCAAAGGGTTTCTTCAGAACTATGTCTGATACTAACATGCGAACGGGCATTCTCTGGGTGCGAGATTGGCGCAGCGCTCTAACCAACTGAGCTACACAGAGACAGTTGTCTAGCTCTCGTAACCACAAGTTCATATATAAATACTAAAAGGTGATGTCAATGTATGGTGTATGGGTAAATATAAGGATTTTGGGCATCTCACTCGATATATTAACTATAATTTGAATGGATTTAAAAGTGAGGTGCCCTAAATCCTATTATTAAGAATCCAGTTTTGGAATACCAGGGCATGAATCATTGTGACTTTGACACTTACCGTATAATGTAAAACATGTTTGCCGAGATCTCGGGATAACAGGGTGTTTTATGGCCTCTCGGCCCCCATTGTTGCCCGAGGCAAAGGCGGTCTCGGCGCCAGAAAACACTTTGTTTTTCTCGGGCTCAGCAAACAAGTGATAATTGTTTGGTTTGAGAGAATAAGGCCAAGTGAGTTGGTGGGTATTTGTTTAGTGCAAGACAACAGTGTCCTTACCATCAGTTGTTTTCCAGACGAAAACTTTATTTTCCTCAGCACAGAGCAACAGTTTGTCATTGTTTTGACGATCTTTCACAACAACTAACTTGCCATGATTCGTCTCATTGCATTTTTCAGGAAACTGACCTTGAAGACTGACTGTCTATAAAAGCAGTTTTTATTGCAGCGGATGTTAGTATACGTCATACTTCTTCCGGACTGTCAGAAAAGGAACTCTTTTAATACCAGGACCGGTAAATTTCCTATTTTTGAGATGTTATGTATTTTGCTAAATTATAGGATGAACTGTAATAAACTAGCGATGTTCTCTGTTCTTATTTTGTCAGAAAACGTCATCAATTTATTATCCTGGACGAACATGCATCCTCCAAAATTTTGAGGATGCATGACCAGAAATGACAGACATGAATATTCTACTTTCTTTAATCTTTATTCATTTCAAACATCGATGCATAACCCTTTGAAATATCGCTTCTGCAGTAAACAATAAAATATATTATGCGATGATGCGACTCGCAAAATCGGAGAATACGTACCGTAAGTCGTTTTTAATTTGCCTCAATTTCTGGTTGCAGTACAAAACAAATATTTAGTGTAATGTTTGCCTAGTGGCAGTTGTGCGGTATTCTTATATATATTGAGTTAAATAGGCTAATGTCGTAAAAACTAACCGCTGGACAAATATTAAAAATGCAAATTGAATGGGCTGAGTAACTGAAGTGAGACCAACCTTATTCGACAGACTTTGTTTTCCAGCTAGCGATTGAGACAAGTTGCAAACGACCTACTTTATTCTCAGATTTTGCGGTTAACAACGTCGCGTTATCCTATTCTCTGTTTAATGAATGAAGAATTGCAAAACATACTTCAAAACTGTAATGCGAATAAACTATCATTCAAAGCTGCAATTGCCTATTAAAGTGTTTATATCACGGCAGGAGAACTCCTATGTACGCATGCGCAGACCAGACAATACCCTATCTTTAAAACCCCAGATTGTAGTATAGGAATGTTCCTATTTGTTTTAGTGACATCAAGAAAATATTCAAAATACAGCTTACCTTTAGTTCAGAAGAAGTCAGCGTAAACAGAACGATGTAGATAGCAAACAAAACAAGAAGCATCGTGGAAATTCAGATTCCAATATTAAACTATAACAATTAACAAAACGCCAGTTCAGATAAGATAAAAGACCTGCCCACCACTGCCGTGCTTATTTTGTTGCTCGTTAAATTTTTCGAGTCGGCTCTTTATAGTATAGGATAGACAATAGTCACTTGTGTTCAGTGGATTAACATGCCACTGAACACGTGATCATTGTCTATCCGACTTTTAGTACAATTTAAGTATTGAAAAATGACCTTTGAGTATCCTGATTGGCTCCCTCAGCAAAACCTCTGAGGAAATAGTTACTGCTGAGACTGCTCTGAACAGTAACTATTGCTTTTCCAAAAAAAGGTGACTGAAATCAGACAATTGGCCTCCTCAGGCTCGGTGATTACAAGTCTGTATTTACTTCGTTTTCGCTCAGTGAATACAGGCTTGTTATCGATCACCTCCCCTTCGGCGACTAATTGTTAAATAGAACATGATCACATTCACGAAGAAGTATTTCTTGCTTGGAATTCTCTAAATTTGTGGGAAGTATTTATTTTTATATGTTTTTTATCGATTAATTTAATCACTCGGAGTGAGTTTATTGAATATAGACCGCCGAAATACGATTGGCTGAGTGGGCGTGATCATGTTCTAGAAATATAAGCTAACGACGTCAATTTTTAAAAGAATTAGTTTCAGGGTCATGCATTGCGGGCTTTTGTTATTGTTTACATTTTACTCAAATACAACAATAGCGATAAAAATACCTTGTTTGGTACATTTCTGATAAAAATCAGACAAAAAGTGCAAGTATTATAAAAGGAGGGTTTAAATATATGACGGATTGTAAACACTTTCCAGATCATCTAATCTATTCGTCCCGAAAAATGGCCGCCAGCAGGAGTTTGAGCCCGCGAATTCCCGGTGTGACACTAATCCTTTAAAACAAAAAACTCAGACATAATTTATTCTAATAAATAAATTAATATTAATTTGCCTATCACTTCGAAGTATGTCTTCAAATCTAAAGGGTATATTATGAACCATGATGTTGTAAATCGTAAAATTTGAGAACAAGGTTGGTCGTTTGCCACTTACCGAAGTCTCTTGTTGCATAACAAGTCGAAGTACAGTATAACTGTAGGTTGTATAATTGTCGAAATATCTAGTGTGATTGTAACCTTGTTTAGATTAGTGTCTTTCCTGATTTTTAGTTTAATTATTCCTATATTGTGCTGTATTTTTATATGTTTAGTTAAATAGAAAAGTATAGTAAAATTAACAAACGTAGTAAAGCAGGATTGGCAGTAAATTAAATAGGCAAATTTTACACTAAATTTTTCCACAGATTTTGTTTTACAACCAGCGATTTCAGCAAGTTGCAAACGATCTATCCTACATATGGATTATGCTATCCAGCTACAACACGGCGTTGTACAATTCACCATGAAGTTACTGTAGAACATTATTGCAAAAAAAACCCAAATTGATCAAAACAACCAACAATTACATTGCAGGTTGTCTCAGATGAATCTGAATAACTAATTATTGGTTATTTTAATTATTCCGTTTTTACAGTGCATATTTCAAAGTGATGTGCAAATTAGTCAGGACGAGGGATAAATTATATACACGTCCGTAATTTGTGGCCATGATTTATTAATTAAAATATTAAATTGATTATTGAACGACATTTTGAAGCTGTTAGAACTTCATTTTATTCAGTGCGAATGGTTGCGCTATTCGAGCGAGAAATGTTATAGTCATCAGTGTAATCACGGCGTCTATGAGATTGGCTTGTGGTATTTAGGGACGTAGCTGAGCCGGGAGCTGCGGCTCCCTTGGAAGTATTTATTGCAATATATACTTACTTCAAAATTAATTAAAGTAAATTAATTCTACTCAGGTTTTCTAGTATGCTTGTTTATTACGTACCAAGTCAACTTAATCAATTGTTCTTTATAAAATGAGGAAAACAAGAAAACAAACTTAACAAAGTGCTTGTGCCGAGGAAAACATTCAAAATCAAGTACTTGAATGCGTTGGGGCAGAGTTACGGAAAACATTTGTTTCTCGTGTAAAAGAGGCAGGTTTTATGTGATAATGGCGGACGAAACAAATGTCATATCAGCCGTAGAACAGCTCTCTCTTTGCTTGAGCTATTACGATTGCAATGAGAAGACAATTTGCGAAAACTTCATTTTCTTACTGGATGTTTTAGACAAAGAATATGTTCGAATCCCAGCAATTCTGGCAATCCCGGCGAAGTTGTTGTAAAGCAAGACTCCATTCCCATGACAATGGAGATGCGAAGAAGAAAATCAAAATGCGTTTGAGATTGAAGAACCAAAACTTATTGGAAAGGTCATTGGGAAAGCAATTGTGAAAGGAATTGAAAAATGTGGCTTATCTCCCAACGCAGCTGTTGTACAAAGCTATGATGGCGCAAGTGTCATGAGTTCAACGAATGTGGGAACATGAGCTTTTGTAAAGGAGCATTGTAAGTATGTATGCAAAGTATTATCACTGCTCTGCCCATGTACTCAATTTCGCACTCGTTAATGCGTCAAAGCTTCCCGTTAAGCCCAGGTCACACTACACAACGATAACGATACGATAACTTGTATACGCGCGCTGATTGGTCAAAAATTTATCGTTATCGTCCGACTGAAAAAAAAATCGCTCGGGTGAGCGATTTTAAAATCGTTATCGTTATCGTCTAACGATAATTTTATAATTTTTGTTGTTGCGTGGTCACTAACACAATTTTTTCGGCAATTATCGCGTGTTTACAATTTATCGTATCGTTATCGTTGTGTAGTGTGACCGGGCCTTTACTCGCAACATGATAAGCACTGTCAAGAAGATAACATCCTTTCCAATTACTGGCAACAAGAAGAAAGTTACCTTAAGATATGCTATTAACTTATCCAGTACCCACTGTTCATCATGGCAGCAAAAACTTTAAGTCATTGTGGGAGACATGATGGGTTGAACGAATAACTTGACTAGAAAATTTTGTAACAAATTACGTTCCAATTGTGAGGACACTAATGGCTATTAGCAGATGGGAAGATCCAGATGCCAAATCACAGGCTTCGTCGCTCATCAAAGCAGTGACAAAAAGCACTATTATTGTCACTTTATTTTGCATCGTTAACGTGAACAATGATATAGGTATATTAGCCAAGCGTCTACAGGAGAAAAACACCTCTGTAAAGGAAGCAATGACGAAGATCCAAGACATCATAACTATCCTCGATGAAGATCGTCAAGACTCAGAACGTCGTTTTGCCAAGATAACGAAGTGGATTCTTGACACTGTAACATGCCTCAAAATCAAAATAGCGTGTTCAAGAGTTTATCAAAATCAGTGTATCGAGATAACCCAGATGTTTCAGATGTTGATGATTCTACTCACGGACTACATTATTTCCGCGTAGCAATGTATATCCCATTTTTGGATACAATTCCTGAGCAATTGCAATTTCAATTTAATGAAAAAACGGCGTTTGCTGGGTTGTTTGATCCGCTGCTTCCAGCTTACTATGCAAAGAATGGTGCAGTGGAAGAAGAGTTCATGCAGCTTTATAGAAACTATTCTCAATCTCTTCATGCTAACAATGTTATGCCTCATGATACTAGTGGCATGAATGCCTTAGCGCAGTACCGATTGTGGGTTGCTAAATGGAAGATAGGGTTTTCCAGTTCAACTGATTCACCAACTGATCACATAGCAACGTTATCATTTTGCGATCCCAATGTTTTTCAAAGCACTTACGCCCTTTTAACTATTGCCAGCATCTTGCCCATATCAACAGCAACCGTTGAGCGCAGTTTTTCTTCTCTAAGGCTTCTCAAGACATATTTGCGTCATCGAACAACTCAAGATCGTTTGAATGCCTTGGAGATGATGTATATCTACGATACCGAACCAACTGATGAAGACCGAGTTATCGAAATTTTTGCCAGTATGAAAAATCGACGTTTGTTGTTATCATTTAATCGATTTAACTCGGACCTCAGTGGTTAATAACAACATAACTCACATTATATTACATTTGAAATTCACTGTTTATACATTACATTAAGTCTTACACAACTGCGTTCAGTTTTTTTTTATAATACGCCTATACGCTTGCGGATAGGCAAACAATGGTGGTTTGTGTTTCGCTGTCTAACCCTAGCCTCGAAAAGCCAAATGAAGTACGGCATGCAATTCTCACTTTTGATAGCTACAATTCGGAGATTTGTAGTTGGTCCTCGTCTTGTGGCCAAGCTTTTTCTAACCGATAATTTCCCATCCCTTTTGCTACACGACAATGCCACCAACTCTGCATATAGTTCTTTTGCAGCAAACATATACATATAGCCACTACTATACCTTTAGCCGGGCCTCACGGCTCCCCTCCTTTTTCAGGTCTGGCTATGTCCCTGGTGGAATTTGCAATATGATTTAACAAATAGATAAGATTTTGCCGTTGTTTGTTCAGTTATAGATACACAGTATGACGTCATATTGTGGGAAGAACAAAAAAGTGTCACGAACCGCCGAGACGAGTTGTTAAAGAATAAAGTAGATGTCTTTGTCTAAAGTGTGCCAACAAAATTTTGGACCCTAACTTAGATTATACGTTCGAAGAATAAAATATATTTGAAGAATAAATTTTACCTTGTTTGTGTACGTTTTCGATTCTATTATTGTTGTTGTTGTTGGCTAACGCGCGCACAGAAGTAGGTTGGGGCGAGAATAATTAATTAGCATGGAGAAGGTTCCTGGCGACGAAGAACAGCGAAGTTTAGATGCTTATAGAAGATGCAACAATGTGAAAAATTAAACCCACTAATAGAGATTATGAAAACCATATTTATTTACCGCAATTAACTGGCTTTTTTTAGTATGCCTTGGACCCACCCCCCTGCACCCCAAACATCAACCTTGTCCCAGGACAATTTTGCTTCCATGGCTAAAGGCCGGCGAAAATGGCCCTGGAATCGGCTGATCAATTGTACAATCCCATTGGTCTGTTTAAAAACGCATTAATTCTTTTCAAGTATAATTTATTCAAACAAATCTAGTGCTTTAAACATTTCTTGTTTTCAAATTATATATCCGGTTAACTTAAAGAAAATATCGAGAGTATAGTCGACAAGATTCACTTACGTTCTATATTTGCCGTGCTATGTATTTGTCAAGCTCATGGATATAAGAAGAATTATGCAAGTATACTGCCCTTAAATAACGTCTTTAGATGGATAAGTTGGCAAATAGTTTATCTACTTCGCATTTATTATTCATGAACAAACAACAAAGATTTAATTTCACATAAATTATCATATACTTTAATTATGTAACTATTTAATTATTTAACTTTTTAATTATCATAAATGATCAAAACACCCAGAAATTCTGGGTGTCATGTGACCAGCCGATCCCAGGGCCATTTTTGCCGCCATTCAGCCGTGGAGGTGAAATGCCCTGGGGACGAGATTGCCCAACCACAGCAGCTTTGACTCAAGTACAAACCTCGACCACCCCCTAACAACTAAATCCCCTTCTATGCCACTGACGATATATATATATATATATATATATATATATATATATATATATATATATATATATATATATATATATATATATATATATATATATATATAAGGCTTTCTGTTCCTGGTGGATAGAAAAAATCACTTCAATCTGATATTAGGGTGTTGACATACAATAATTAGAGAGGGTCTAGAGGGCGGGACCATATCGACCATGGGTCTTTTTATACGTTTTGCCCTAAACTCGAAAATAATCTTAAAGTGCACATGATACGAAATCCCCTCCCCCTCGCCCTTTTTTATGCATCATTTGAAAGTACGTATCATAAATATCACAGCACATCTCGTTCCTTAGTTATCGGACATTTTGTATTTGGCGTTATGACGTCACTGGTTGCGCTGGGAGTAAACAGAAGAAAGTCCAATATCTGAGAACGAAATTAGATAAAATTTGGTAGATTTGACAAGTGCACCTATAATAAAATCTTGAAATGCTTATTTGCTCGTCATTGTAACACATTAGTTACCAAGTGTCTCTCTTCCAACAAATAGAAAGAACTTTTTGTGATTTCCATTTATTATTATCGTTCTCATGAGGTGCCGTGGTGAATATTGGCAAATGAAATAAATAAAAGATTTGTTCCAAAGTGTCTACAGGAGGCATGAATGAAAAGGAAGAGAGATACCTGGTAACTAGTGCGCTGCCATGAACAACCGAATAAACATTCCAATATGATGGTATAGGTTCACTTACCAACTCTACCAAATTTCATTTCATTTTGTTGAATTACTTCTGAGATAGAAGACATTTTTCAGTACGGCTATTTAGCGCAAGCAGTGACGTCAAAACACAAACACACAAAACGTTCGATAACTTAGGAATGAGATGAGCTGTGAATAAATTGTTAAAGCTGTTCTCATAATGTTCAAGATCCCAGGAAAATTAGTTGTAAGACAATATTGTATGAAAATCGCAGGGAAAACTTTCGGCTTCCATATACTCGCATAAAATTTATACTAGTGCCCGCATAAATTACGATTGCTCGCATAAATTAATAGTGCTCAAGTATATAGGCTGCGTTCAGACCGGGTGCCCGGCACTGGTGCCCGTAGGTTGTTTTGGCGCCAAGTTTGAACACTAAATTTATACGCTTCCCCAAGGCCCCAAGAAAGGGCACTAATTCTAGAGGTAGTACTCAAAACTACGGCATTGTGCTGAACATGTTTTGGGAACCAGTTTGAACATTGGGCACCAAGTAGTGCTCGCATACATTAATTAATTAATTAATTTAAATGACGTCAAAAATATAAATGTCCCGAGAGTGATTAAGATAAAAATGAATTTTATTGACATAATCTGACTCTTAAAGCAATTAAAAAGCGATTGCCTGACCAAGTCCTCATCATTTCAATCTGGTTTCGAACTTAATGGCCGGAATTTCAAAGCTGGCTGAAACTGAACCCTGAA